TCAACAAGTGAACCTGACAGCTAACAAGTGAACCATCAACAAGTGAACCACAGCCTTCAATGATAAACCACAGCCTAAAAAAGTGAACCACAGCTAACCATTGAACCACAGCCTTCAACAAGTGAACCACAGCCTTCAACAAGTGAACTACAGACTTCAACAAGTGAGACACAGCCTTCAACAAGTGAACACAACCTTCAACAAAAACGAACCACAGCAACTAACAAGTGAACCACAGCCTTCACCAAGTGAACCACAACCTTCAACAAGTGAGAACCACAACCTTCAACAAGTGAACAACAACTGACCTTCACCCATTGAACTACGGCCTTCAAGTGAACCACAGCCTTCAACAAATGAACTACAACCTTCGGCAAGTGAACCACAACCCCTTCAACAAGTGAACCACAGCCTTCAACAAAGTGAACCACAGCCTTCAACAAGTGAACCACAGCAACTAACAAGTGAACTACAGCCTTCAACAAGTGAACCTGACCTTCAACAAGTGAACCACAGCACTTCAACAAGTGAACCACAGCCTTCAACAAGTGAACCTACAGCCTTCAACAAAGTGAACCACAGCCTTCAACAAGTGAACCACAGCCTTCCAACAAAGTGAACTACAGCCTTCAACAAGTGAACCACAGCCTTCACCAAGTGAACCACAGCCTTCAACAAAGTGAACCTGACCCTTCAACAATTAGAACCTGACCCCAGCTTCAACAACAAGAGTGAACCACAGCCTTCAACAAGTGACACAGCAGCCAACAAGTGAACCACAACCTTCAACAAAAGTGAACTACAGCCTTCAACAAGTGAACCACAGCCTTCAACAAATTGAACCACGGCCTTCAACAGAGTGGGACCACAGCCTTCAACAAGTGAACCACAGCCTTCAACAAGTGAACCACAACCTTCAACCAAGTGAACCACAGCTTCAACAAGTGAACCACAGCCTTCAATAAGTGAACCACAGCCTTCTTAAGTGAACCACAGCTAACAAGTGAACCACAGCAGCTAACCAAGTGAACCACAACCTTCAACTAATGAATACAACCTTCTGCCAAGAGTGGACACAGCAACTAATGAAGTGAACCACGGCCTTCAACAGAGTGAACCACAGCCTTCAACAAGAGTGAACCACAGCCTTCAACAAGTGAACCACAACCTTCAACAAGTGAATTACAGCCTTCAACAAGTGAACCACAGCCTTCAGCTTCAAGTGAACCACATCGTAACAAAGTGAACCACAGCCTTCACCAAGTGACTGGCTTATTCACCATTGAACCACAGCCTTCAACAACGTGAACCACAGCCTTCCAACAAGTGGACCACAGCCTTCAACCGTGAACCACAGCCTTCAACAAATGAACCACAGCCTTCAACAAGTGAACCACAGCCTTCAACAAGTGAACCACATCCTTCAACAAAGTGAACCCTCCAACAAGTGAACCACAGCCTTCAACAAGTGAACTACAGCCTTCACCAAGTGAACTACAGCCCCTTCAACAAGTGAACCACAGCCTTCAACAAATGAACCACAGCCTTTAACAAGTGAACTACAGCCTTCAACAAAAATTGAACCACAGCACTTCAACAAGTGAACCACAGCCTTCAACAAGTGGACCACGGCCAGCCCCCTTGCAACAAGTGAACCACAGCCCTTCCAACAAATTGACCACGGCCGCTGACAAGTGAACCACAGCCTTCAACAAGTAAGACCACAGCCCAACAAGGCAGACCTGGCTGCTGGTGAACCGACAGACCACAGTAACAACAAGTGAACTGCAGTGACTAAACAACAAATTGGACACGGTATTCGACAAGTGGACAAAACCAGGTGAGACTGCAGTATTCGAGCAAGGTGAGACCACGGTGGCTTCTGACAGGTGGACACTGGCCTTCAACAGGTGGACTGGCCCAGCTACTTAGGTGGACTACTGTTATTCTGACAGAATTGGACCACGGTATTCAGCAAGGTGGAAATGCAGTATTCTGACAAGGTGGACCACGGTATTCAACAGGTGGACCACAGTGACAAACAGGTGGACCACGGTATTCTGCCAGAGTGGACCACGGTGACCCCACCAGGTGGACCACCGGTATTCGACAGGTAGGACCACGGTATTCCCAGCAGGTGGGGACACAGCAAATTAAGGCCACATTTCAACAGGTGGACTACAGTATTCAAGCAAAGGTGGACACATTATTCAATAACAGAGTGGACCACGGTATTCTGACAAGGTGGACCACGGTATTCTGACAAATTGGACCACGGTATTCCCGACAAGTCAGACCACACAGCCTTCAACAAATGAGCGCAACCTTCAACAAGTGAACCACGGCCACCAGAGTGAACCACAGCCTTCAACAAGTGAACCACAGCCTTCAACAAGTGAACCACAGCCTTCACCAAGTGAACCACAGCCTTCAACAAGTGAACCACAGCCTTCAACAAGTGAACCACAGCTTCAACAAGTGAACCACAGCAGCTAACAAGTGAACCTGTGCTAAACAAGTGAACTGGCCTTCAACAAGTAAGACACAATATTAATGGTGAACACATGTAACAAGTGAACCACAGCCTTCCAACAAGTGAACCACAGCCTTCAACAAGTAAGCACAGCTGGCAACAAGAAGTGGATACAGCCTTCCTTAAGTGAACCACAACCTCCAACAAGTGAACAACCGAACCTTCAACAAGTGAACCACAGCCTTCAACAAGTGAACCACAACCTCCAACAAATGAACACAGCCTTCAACAAGTGAATTACCGCCTTCAACAAAGTGAACCACAGCCTTCACCAAGTAGACAAGCCTTCAACAGTGAAGACAGCCTTCAACAAGTGAACCACAGCCTTCACCAAGTGAACCACAGCCTTCAACAAGTGAACCACAGCCTTCAACAAGTGAACTACAGCCTTCAACAAGTGAACCACAGCCTTCAACAAAATTGAACCACAGCCTTCAACAAATGAACCACAGCCTTCAACCATTGAACCACAGCTGCTTCACCAAGTGAACCACAGCCTTCAACTCCATTGAATACCAGCCTTCAACAAGTGAACCACAGCCTTCAACAAGTGAACCACAGCCTTCAACAAGTGAACTACTGACTTCAACAAATTGAACCACAGCTCATGAACCACAGCCTTCAACAAGAGTGAACCACAGCAGCCCCACCAAGTGAACACCTGTTATTCAACAAGTGATCCACAGCCTTCAACAAGTGAACCCACAGCCTTCAACCGATGAACCACAGCCTTCAACCAAGTGAACCACCAGCCTTCAACAAGTGACCACAGCCTTCAACAAGTGAACCACAGCCTTCAACAAGTGAACTACAGCCTTCAACAAGTGAACCAAAGCCTTCAACAAGTGAACCACAGCCTTCAACAAGTGAACCACAGCCTTCAACAAGTGAACCACAGCCTTCAACAAGTGAGCACAACCCAACAAGTGGACCACAGACTTCCAACAAGTGAACCACAGCCTCCAACCAAGTGAACCACAGCCTTCAACAAGTGAACCACAGCCTTCAACAAGTGAACCACAACCTCCAACAAGTGAACCACAGCAACCCCAACAAGTGAACCACAACCTTCAACAAGTGAACCACAGCCTTCACCAAGTGAACCACAGCAACCTTCAACAAAGTGAACCACAGCAGCCAACAAGTGAACCACAGCCCACCAAGTGAACCACAACCTTCACCAAGTGAACCACAACCTTCACCAAGTGAACCACAGCCTTCAACAAGTGAACCACAACCTTCAACAAATGAACCACAGCCTCCAACAAGTAAACCACAACTTCAACAAGTGAACCACAGCCTTCAACAAGTGAACCTGGCCAACTACCAAGTGAACCACAGCACTTCAACAAGTGAACCACAGCAGCCTTCAACAAATGAACCACAGCCTTCAACAAAAGTGAACCACAACTTCAACAAGTGAACTACAGCCTTCAACAAGTGAACCACAGCCTTCAACAAGTGAACCACAGCCAGCCCCAACTTAAGTGAACCACAGCCTTCAACAAGTGAACACAGCCTCAACAAGTGAACCACAGCCAACAAAAAGTGAATTTGGCAACTAAACAAGTGAACCACAGCAGCAACAAGTGAACCACAGCCTTCAACAAGTGAACACAGCCTTCAACAAGTGAACAACAGCCTTCAGCAAATTGAATATACAACCTTCCAACAAATGAACCACAGCCTTCAACAAGTGAACTACAGCTTCAACAGTGAGCAGCCTTCAACAAAGTGAACCACAGCCTTCAACAAGTGAACCACAGCCTTCAACAAGTGAACCACAGCCTTCAACAAGTGAACCACAGCCTTCAACAAGTGAACCAACAGCCTTCAACAAGTGAACCACAGCCTTCAACAAATGAACCACAGCCTTCAACAAGTGAACTACAGCCTTCAACAAATGAACCACAGCCTTCAACAAGTGAACCACAGCCTTCCAACATTGAACTACAGCCTTCAACAAGTGAACCACAACCTTCCAATAAATGAACTACAGCCTTCAACAAAGTGAACCACAGCCTTCAACAAGTGAAGACCACAGCCTTCAACAAGAGTGAACCACAGCCTCAACAAGTGAACCACAGCCTTCACCAAGTGACCCACAGCCTTCACCAAGAGTGAACCACAGCCTTCAACAAATTAGACACAGCCTTCAACAAGTGGACCTGTGTATTCAACAAGTGAACCACAGCCTTCAACAAGTGAACCTGGCACTTCCAACAAGTGAACCACAGCCTTCAACAAAGTGAACCACATCCTTCAACAAAGTGAACCACAGCCTCCAACAAGTGAACCACAGCCTTCAACAAGTGAACACAGCCTTCACCAAGTGAACTACAGCCTTCACCAAGTGAACCACAGCTAGCCTAACCAGAAGTGAACCACAGCCTTCAACAAAATGAACCACAGCACTTCAACAAATTGAACCACAGCCTTCACCAAGTGGACCTGGCCTTCAACAAGTGAACACAGCCTTCAACAAGTGAACCACAGCGCTTCAACAAATGAACCACAGCCTTCAACAAGTGAACCACAGCCTTCAACAAGTGAACCACAACCTTCAACAAGTGAATTTGGCCTTCAACAAGTGAACCACATCCTTTCAACAAGTGAACCACAATATTCACCAAAGTGACACAGCCTTCACCAAGTGAACCACAGCCTTCAACAAGTGAACCACAGCCTTCAACAAGTGGACCACAGCCTTCAACAAGTAGCCACAGCCTTCAACAAGTGAACCACAGCCTTCAACTAGAAGTGAACCACAGCCTTCCAACAAAGTGAACCACATCCTTCAACAAGTGAACCACAGCCTCCAACAAGTGAACCACAGCCTTCAACAAATGAACTACAGCCTTCACCAAGTGAACCTGTGTACAACAAGTGAACCACAGCCTTCCTCGATGAACCACAGCCTTCAACAAGTGAAAGACTACAGCCTTCAACAAGAGTGAACCACAGCCTTCAACAAGAAACAGACAACCACAGCCTTCAGCAAGAGTGGACACAACCTGCAACAAGTGAACTGTTATTCAACAAATTCAGACCACAGCCTTCAACAAGTGAACCACAACCTTCAACAAGTGAAGACAAGCACAACAAGTGAACACAGCCTTCATAAGTGAACCACAGCCTTCCACAAGTGAACCACAGCTAACAAGTGAACTACAGCCTTCAACAAGTGAACCACAACCTTCAACAAGTGAACCACAGCCCCAACTAACTTAAATGAACTACAGCCTTCAACAAGTGAACCACAGCCTTCAACAAGTGAACCACAACCCCTTCAACAAGTGAACCACAGCCTTCACCAAGTGAACTACAGCCTTCAACAAGTGAACCACAACCTTCAACAAGTGAACTGCAACCTTCAACAAGTGAACCACAGCCTTCAACAAGTGAACCACAGCCTTCAACAAGTGAACCACAGCCTTCACCAGAACCACAGCCTTCACCAGTGAACCACAGCCTTCAACAAGTGAACCACAGCCTTCACCAAGTGAACCACAGCAGCCCCTACCAAGTGAATTACAACTTTCAACAAGTGAACACAGCCTTCAACAAATGAACCACAACCAACAAGTGAACCACAACCTTCAACAAGTGAACCTTCAACAAGTGAACCACAATGACTAACAAATGAACCACAGCCTTCAACAAGTAAACCACAGCCTTCAACAAGTGAACCACAGCCTTCACCAAGTGAATTACAACCTTCAACAAGTGAACCACAGCCTTCAACAAGTGAACCACAGCCTTCACCAAGTGAACCACAACTTCCAACAAGTGAACCACAGCCTTCAACAAGTGAACCACGGCAACTTCAACAAGTGAACCACAGCCTTCAACAAGTGAACTACAGCCAACTAACAAGTGAACCACAGCCTTCAACAACAAGTGAACCACAGCCTTCAACAAGTGAACCACAACCTTCAACAAGTGAACCACAACCTTCCAACAAGTGAAACTGTTATTCAACAAGTGGACCACAACCTTCAACAAGTGAACCACAGCCTCAACAAGAGTGAACAGCAGCTATTCAACAAGTGAACCACAATATTCAACAAGTGAAACACAGCCTCCAACAAGTGAACCACAGCCAACAAGTGAACCTGACTAAAACAAGTGAACCACAGCCTTCACCAGAGTAGACAAAGCCTTCAACAAGTGAACCATCCTTCAACAAGTGAACTTTAGCCTTCACCAAGTGAACCACAGCCTTCAACAAAGTGAACCACAGCCTTCAACAAGTGAAACAGCTACAACATAAGTGAACCACAGCCTTCAACAAGTGAACCACAACCTTCAACAAGTGAACCACAACCTTCAACAAGTGAACCACAGCAACTACAGAAGTGAACCACAACGCTAACAAGTGAACCACAGCCTTCAACAAGTGAACCACAGCCTTTAACAAAGTGAACCACAGCCTTCAACAAGTGAACTACAGCCTTCAACAAGTGAACCACAACCTTCAACAAGTGAACCACAGCCTTCAACAAGTGAACCACAACATACCAAGTGAACTACTGACCTTCAACAAATGAACCTGACTTCAACAAATTAATTGCAACCTTCACAACAAGTTGAGACCACAGCCTTCAACAAGTGAGACCACCGGTATTCAACAAATTGAACCTGACCTTCAACAAGTGAACTACTGACCTTCAACAAGGTGGACCACGGCCTTCAGCAAATTGAGACCTGACCTTCAACAAATTGAACCACAGCCTTCAACAAGTGAAGACCACGGCCTTCAACAAATTGAAGCACAGCCTTCAACAAATTGGATACACAGACTTCAACAAGAGTGAACCACAGCCTCCAACAAGTGAGACCACAGCACAACAAGTGAACCACAGCCCAACAAGTGAACCACCGGCCTCCAACAAATTGAACCACAACTATTCAACAAGTGAACCACAACCTTCAACAAGTAGACACAGCCTTCACCAAGAGTGAACCACAACCCTTCAACAAGTAGAACCACAACTAACAAATGAATTACAACCTTCACCAAGTGAACCACAACCTTCACCAAGTGAACCACAGCCCACCAAGTGAGACCTGACTGACTGACAGGTGAGACCACGGCCCTGACAAGATGGACCACGGCCTCCGACAGGTGAGCCACGGCTGACAGGTGGACCACGGCTGACAGGTGGACCACGGTACCCAGGTGGACCACGGCCTGACAGGTGGACTGCAGCCTTCTGACAGGTGGACCACATTGCTGACAGGTGGACCACGGCCTTCTGACAGGTGGACTGCAGTATTCTGACAGAGTGGACCGCGGCCCAGAAACCAGGTCGGACCACTGTTATTCAACAGGTGGACCACGGCTGACAGGTGGACTGCAGTATCAACCAGGTGGACCACGGTGACAGGTGGGCCACAGTGACAGGTGGACCACGGTGACAAGGTGGACCACCCCGGTATTCGACAAATTGGACCACGGTGACTACCGACAAGGTGGACGACATCCTTCAATAGGCGTGAACCACAGCCTTCAACAAGTGAACCACAGCCTTCAACAAGTGAACTACAGCGCTAACAAGTGAACCACAGCTAAAACAAGTGAACACAACCTTCAACAAAATTTGAACCACAGCCCAACAAGAGTGAACCACAGCCAACAAGTGAAGACACAGCCTTCAACAAGTGAACAACAGCAACTAAACAAATTGAACCACAGCCTTCAACAAGTGAACCACAACCTTCAACAAGTGAACTACAGCCTTCAACAAGTGAACCACAGCAACCCCTACAACAAGTGAACCACAGCCTTCAACAAGTGAACTACAGCCTTCAACAAATGAACCACGACCTTCAATAAATGAACTACAGCCCATACAACAAGTGAACCACAACTAACCATCAAACCACAGCCTTCAACAAGTGAACCACAACCTTCAACAAGTGAACCACAACCTTCAACAAGTGAACCACAATATTCAACAAGTGAACCACAACAACAAGTGAACCACAGCCCAGCTATAGAGTGAACCACAGCTAACAAGTGAACCACAACCTTCAACATGTGAACCACAGCCTTCAACAAGTGAACCACAGCCAACAAGTGAACTGGCCTTCAACAAGTGAACTACAACCTCCAACAAGTAAACCACAGCCTTCACTAGTGACTACAGTCTTCAACAAGTGAACTACAACCTTCAACAAATGAACTACAGCCTTCAACCGATGAACCCACAGCCCCAACAAGTGAACCCACAGCCTTCAACAAGTGAACACAGCCTTCAACAAGTGAACCACAATAGCTTCAGCAAACAGAACCACTGACCTTCAACAAGTGAAACCACAACCTTCGTAAATGAACCTACAGCCTCCAACAAGTGAACCACAGCCTTCAACATGTGAACCACCGGCCTTCGGCAAGTGAACACAGCCTTCAAAACAAGTGAACTACGGCCTCCAACAAGTAAACCACAGCCTTCCAACAAATGAACCACAGCCTTCGCCAAGTGAACCACAGCCTTCAGCACAAGTGAACCACAGCCTTCCCACCATAAGTGAACTACAGCCTTCAACAAGTGACCACAGCTTCAACAAATAGGGCTAGCCTTCAACAAGTGAACCACAGCCTTCAACAAGTAGACCACAGCCTTTAATAAAATGAATTTGGCCTTCCATAAGTGAACCACAGCCCCAGCCACCAAGTGAACCACAGCCTTCACCGATGAACCACAGCCCCTTCACCAAGTGAACCACAACCTTCAACAAGTGAACCTGACCTTCAACAAGTGAACCACAGCCTTCAACAAATGAACCACAGCCTACCAAGTGAACCACAGCCTTCACCAAGTGAACCACAGCCTTCACCAAGTGAAGACCACAGCCTTCAACAAACAGACCACAGCCTTCAACAAGTGGATGCTGGCCTTCAACAAGTGAACCACAACCTTCAACAAATTAACCACAGCCTTCAACAATGAACCACAGCCTTCAACAAGTGAACCACAGCCTCCAACAAATGAACTACAACCTTCAACAAGTGAACCACAGCCTTCAACAAGTGAACCACAGCCTTCAACACCATTGAACACAGCCTTCAACAAGTGAACCACCAGCCTTCAACAAGTGAACTACAGCCTCAACAAAGAGAGAACCGGCCTTCAACAAGTGAACCACAATATTTAACAATACAGACACAACCTTCACCAAGTGAGCCACAACCTTCACCAAAGGGAACCACAGCCTCCAACAAGAGTAGACTACAGCCTTCAACAAGTGAACTACAGCCTTCACCAGTGAACTACAGCCTTCAACAAGTGAACCACAACCTTCAACAAGTGAACCACAGCCTTCAACAAGTGGACCACAATATTCACCAAAATGAACCACAGCCTTCAGCAAGTGAACCACAGCCTTCCACCAAGTGAACCACAACCTTCAGCCAGTAAACCACAGCCTTCACCAAGTGAACCACAGCCATCAACAAGTGAACCACAGCCTTCAGCAGAGTAGACTGGCATGGCAAAGTGGAGAACAACAGCTTTCAGTGCAAATTGACTGAGGATAATGAAAGTGAGGTGGCAAGCCCTGGCGATGATGATGAAAGAGTGAAATTGGCTGACGACCCCTGGCAGTGAGGTGGCCTGACCTAACAGTGAGGTGGCTGACGACCTGGCGGGTAGGGTGGCTGTGACCCTGGCTGGTCAAGGATGGCTGACGACCCTGGCAGTGAGGTGGCTAACGACCCTGTGGCAGTGAAGGAGAGTGAAATTGGCTGACGACCCAGAACAGTGGGGTGGCTGACGACCTGGCAGTGATGATGAGAGTGAGGTGGCTGACGACTGTGATGAGAGGAGAGTGAGGTGGCTGACGACCTAACAGTACGAAGAGTGGGGCGGCTGGGCGTGCCTGGCAGTGAGGAGGTGGGGTGGCTGACGACCCTGGCAGTGAGGAGAGTGGGGTGGCTGACGACCCTGGCAGTAAGAGTGAGGTGCCTGACGACCCTGGCAGTGATGATGAAATTGAGGTGGCTGACTGACCCTGGCAGTGGTGGCTGACGACCTGTGATGTGAGGTGGCTGACGGCCCTGGCAGTGGGGTGGCTGAAGCTGACCCTGCACCAGCAGTGGTGGCTGGCGACCCTGTGGCAGTGAGATGGCTGACGACCCTGGCAGTGGGGAGAGTGCTGGTGGCTGACGACCCTGGCGTGATGATGATGGGGAGTGAGGTGGCGGCAGCCCTGGCATTGAGGTGGCTGACGACCTGGCAGTGGGGAGAGTGGGGTGACTGACAACCCTGGCAGTGAAGAGATTGGGAGTGGCTGACGACCCTGGCAGTGAGGAGAGTGGGGTGGCTGACGGCCCTGGCAGTGATGATGTAAGTGTGACGACCCTGTGGCAGTGAGGTGGCTGACGGCCTGGCAGTGGGGAGAGTGAGGTGGCTGACGACCCTGACAGTGAAAAGAGTGGGGTCGCTGACTGACCCTGGCAGTGAGGGTGGCTGACAGGCTGGCAGTGAGGGGAGAGTTGGGTGGCTCATGAGCCCTGGCAGTGGGGAGGTGAGGTGGCTGTGACCCTGGCAGTGAGGAGGTGGGGTGGCTGACGACCCTGTGGCAGTGAGGGAGAATTGGGGTGGCTGTGACCGTGTGATGAGGTGGGCGGCTGACGTGACCTGACGGTGGTGGCTGACGGCCTGGCAGTGAGGTGGCTGACGACCCTGGCGGTGAGTGAGGGTGGATGTGAAGCCCTGGCAGTGATGGTGAGGTGAGGTGGATGGCGACCCACCAGTGAGTGGGGTGGCGACCCTGGCAGTGAGGAGGTGGGGTGTGGCGACCCTGTGGCAGTGGGGAGGTGGGCGGCTGACGACCCCTGACAGTGTGAGGTGAGGTGGCAGACGGCCTGACAGTGAGGGAGGTGGGGGGTGGCTGACGGCCCTGGCAGTGAGGAGGCAGGGTGGCTGACGGTGACCCTGGCAGTGATGATGAGTGGGGTGGCTGGCGGCAGAGAATGACCCTGGAAGTGGTGGATGACGACCCTACTGGCAGTGAGGTGGCTGACGACCCTGGTAGTGAGGGAGGTAGGGTGGCTGATGAAAGCCCTGGCAGTGATGAAGAGAGAGTGAGGTGGCTGACGACACTGGAAGTGAGGTGGATGACTGACACCATGAAATGAGGTGGCCCGGACGACCATGGTGGTAGTGTGAGGTGGCTCAGTGACCTGCAGTGATGATGAGGTGAGGTGGCTGACGACCTAACATTGGTGGCTGGCTTGACCAGCCCTGGCAGTGAGGGGAGGTGAGGTGGCTGACGACCTGGCAGTGATGACAAGGTGAGGTGGCTGACGACCCTGGCAGTGGGGTGGCTGGCAGCCCTGGCAGTGAGAGGTAGGGTGGCCTGACGACCTGACAGTGATGATGAGAGTGAGGTGGCTGACGACCCACAAATGAAAGTGGATGACGACCCTGGCATTGAGGTGGCTGACGGCCCTGGCAGTGATGGTAGAGTAGAATTGGCTGACGGCCTGGCAGTGAGGTGGCTGACGACCCTGGCAGTGAGGGGAGAGTGAGGTGGCTGATGACCCTGGCAGTGAGAGAGGGAGAGTGGGGTGGCTGACGACCCTGGCAGTGAGGAGAGTGAGGTGGCTGGCGACCCTGGCAGTGAGGAGAGTGGGGTGGCTGGCAGCCCTGGCAGTGAGGTGGCTGACGGCCCCTGGCAGTGAGGGGGTGGGGTGGCTACTGACGACCCTGGCAGTGATGATGTAAGGAGTGAGGTGTGTGCAGTGAGGAGAGTGAGGTGGCTGACGACCCCTGGCAGTGAGGAGGTGAGGTGGCCGACGACCCTGGCAGTGATGATGAGTGGTGACTGACGACCTGTAGAGTGAGAGTGGGGTGTGACGACCTGGCAGTGGAGAGTGAGGCGGCTGGCGACCTGAGGTGAGTGAGGTGGCTGATGACCCTGGCAGTGGGGTGGCTGACGTGTGGTGAGGTGAGGTA